TCGAATGTTATTCTTCCTACCTGCTTTTTCCAGAATATGGCCGGGAGGACAGGCTTGTGCCCCATGCTCACCTGTGGTGGTAGATTGCCTTCTCTATGGCGGCTTTCTGGAATGTCCACTGGGATACCCATCTAGATTTCAGGCTGTCTGTGGAGAGACTCCATGCTTCTGCTCCCCCTGCCTCCAACCTGCTCCAGACGGCAGCTTCCATGAAGCATGGTGGGCAGCTGGCCCCGGAGGTACCATTACCCGAGGCTGGTTCTCTGAGACCCTCCTTTGGGAGCTGCTGCGTGTTGGACTCCAGCCCACTGAGCACCTACCGTGTGTACCGTGCAGCACACCCTGTGTGGTAGCTGGCCCCCATCTAAGCATTAGCAGTCCTCTGTCGAGATGTACTCCCAGCCTGCTCTCCACCCTGGAAGCCAGAGGAAGCTTTTAAAGGATGACTCTCCTGTTGGAACTCTTTCTGTTGAAAACCACGTCTGTGAGCAATTCCCAGCAGGCTTCCCCATTCCAACAGCCAGTAACTCCTTGGTGCTTGCTTCTCTCTGGCCTACTCTGCGCTCTGGGTCTCCTTCACACGGGCCTCCTGGACATGCTCTCTATGCTGTGCCCCTTGATGTCTGATGTTCTTTACCTCGTGGCTCTGGGTTGTGGGTATCATTGTAGCCTGGGAGACTCTAGCCTCTATGGGCTTTTGTTCTGGTAAGTGGGACAGGACAGAGCAGTCCAAGACAGCGTGGATGTTTCTAGACCTGGCTCATTGGATATCTGCCTGGAGCTTTTCGGAGCCTTTCTGCTCACAATGGTCTCCTGGGGCCTGGCAGGTGTGGCAGTCACATCCTGATCGTTGTTGCTATTACAGTAGAGAGCACCGTGGAGGCATCTTGTCTTGACACGTAAGTGCTTTCCCCAGAGTGGCCTTGCAGATTCCTGGCACCCACTGATGGAGTCACAAAGTCGAGAGATCCTGCCCTGACCCACTGTCTGAGCCCCCTGCTCATAGGCCAGGCCTCATTTTGCCTCCTAACCCTCCTCCCGTTTTCTAGTGACCTCCTTTACCCCCATCATCCATCAGTGTCTATTTGTGGCCAACTCACTTTCACTTTAAAAGAAATGAGCTGCTGTGACTCACTCTCCCCTGGCCCCTTCTGAGCTACATGCCAGCCATGCAGAAGTAAGGTTCATAGGAGAGCCATCTAGACCTTCTCCACTTCCTTCTATCCACACGTTCATGCCTTTCCCTAATCTGGATTCTGCCCTTGCTTGGGACTCTGGCACAGGGCTCCAGGCCACTCTTCTCAACCTTGGGAGGAAAAGCAAACAAAAAAGATCTTAAGAACAAAACAGAGCTGAGGGTGTGACTTAGCAGTAGTGTACCAGGCCTGCTCAAGGCCCTGGCTTCCATCCTCAGCGGCCCCAAAATACAGAAGCACACAGAATCACACAATTGTGCCTGAACATACCCAGAGGACTGAGGCAGAACTGATCCAGACATCAACGACTTTCCAGTGTTATGTGGTGTCCTGAAGGGTTCCACAGCCTGAGTTCTGAGACTAAAGGGCATCCATTTGTCCTCCTAGCCGTGGCCTCTAGCAGAGCCTGGCTGTATGAGATTTCTGTGGTACCTGTAACAGGTGACCACATGCTAAGTGGCTTCAAAGCCACAAAACACCCCAGGCTCCATCCCCAGCACTGAAAGGACAAAATAAAGGCAGTTACACCCCTTGCTCCCAGCCCCCACACACTGCAGTTCTGGAGGCCAGGTGTCTAAAATCAAAGTGCCAGCATGGCCTCACTCAACCTACAAGCTCATTGAACCAGCCTTTTGCTTCTTTAGCCTCTCATAGTGTCAGGCATACCAAGCTTATGCCTTCCTGGCTCCAATCCCTGCCACTGTGGTCACATTGCTGCTTCTTGTCCTGAGCATCAAAATCCTCAACTTCTGCGATGAAGACAGGAGCGTCTATCCAGGGCCTGCCCAGAGAATCAGGATACCACCTAAGATTGTGGCTCATTCCAGGTGCTACCATCTAAGAGCGTGGATGATTTCACGTGCTAACATATAGGTTTGTGGCTGATTCCATGTGTTACTGTCTAAGGTCCTCGTTACTGGTTCTAGGGCTTGAGCTGCAACTCCTGGGGCCCATGCCTGGCCAAGTGTTCTGACCCAGGGAGATCACTGCTCCTCCTCGATAAGCCTGGTGGACTATATGCCATCTCCTCCAGTCTACTATCTCTGGCCTCTATTCTCCGGGTTCTGCCTTGCCCGTACTAAATGCTAGCTTAAACCAGGGCCTGGTCCTAGACCCCAGCCTCAAACTCTTGTCTTTGGTAGCCTCTCTCCACCTTTACACATTATACTGGCCTCTCTCTGCTCTCAGCCATCTTTTTTGTGGTTACTGCCCTACTGTTCCTAATCTTTACATTTTCCTTCTCTCCACCTGGAATGTTCTGCCCTCCTCCTCACCTTCACTTGCCCAGTCAGTTCCTTTTCGTCTCTTGTGCTTGGCTCAGGCTTTCTGGGAGGCTGCTTACTGCCTAGCTGGCCTGAGTTTGTTGCTGTCTTTCACAGCACCGTGTGTCCTGTGGGAGCATCTTGGTTTGTAACTATACATTGATTCATGTGTCTGGTTTGTCCTTTGCTGGACCGTGCATGCTGAAGGAGCAAAACTTTGTCCCTCTTGTTTGCTCCCAGCAACATGTGAAGCTCCCAGCTTCACTATTTTTATTTACTCAAATCAAAAACTCCTGACTGCTAGGTAAGGCCACTCATGCCCATAGTCCTAACACTTGGCAGGCTAATGCAGGGGAATTGCAAGTTTGAGGCCAGCCGGAGCTAATAGTGAATCTCAGGCTAGCTTGGGCTACATAGTGAGATCCTGTCTCAGATAACAGTTTTTTTGAGAGAGAGAAAGAATCAGGAAGGCCAAGAGTTCCAGGTAATCCTTGGCTAAATAGTGAATTTAAGGCTATTTTGGACTTCATGAGACTACATGTACATAAAAAGAAATAAATGGCATGAATTAGGCAATTGCTATATGTCTGGAGCTTCGTGACTGACTGTCCACCTGGCCCTGTTCATGAAGACCTAGAAGAAAGGTGTACTGTTCTCCTCATGTGACATGAGAAGCTAGAAGCACAGAGTGAAGTATCTTTCTCGGGTTACAAAGGAACAAACAGAGGCCACTGTGTGTCATGCCCTCCCCAAGCACTTGGCCCTGGCTTCTGGGTGGATACTGCCCCCTCCTGCCTAGGTTAGAAAGCAGAGGCTCAGAGAGAGGAGAGAGGTGAGCTCACTTGCTTTAAGGAACTCGGCTCCACGGGCCTGTGAGCTAGGGTTCAGGTCTCAAAGAAACTCTTGGCCAAGTGGGGAAGCCAACAGCTAGTGTGATCCTAGCTGTGTGTGTGTGTGGGGGGGTGAGAACCACTCTGTCTCTTCCCAACTGGATGGCCTTACGAGTGATCTGATTGCTCTAAGGTCTTGCCAGCTGGAGGACCTGGCACTGCTGGGCCTGGTTTCTTCTGCTAGAAAAGCAGGTTCTGTGAGAGTTCCTGAGAGCTGTCCCTTAGGCCAGCAACGCCCAAATGTTCTTCCTCTCAGCCAGGCCTGCCAACTTAAATTCAGTCACCAATTTCCAGAAATGGTCCTATCCTTGCAACTGCTACTTCTGGTTCTGCCTTGGTCCAGGAAGTTTCCCGAATCTGGCAGATGACAAAGTCCCTTGGGTCACTGGCTCTGGCACCTGTTGTACTACTTAACAGCTTGGGGGAAAGACTGCTTCCCAGAGACGCTGACCGCTTCCATTGGGCCACACCTCTCCACATCCTCTGTCTAGAATCTTTGTCATAGTTATTGTACAAGAGTGTACTATCCCACACCGTTCAGTTGACGCTTAGGCCAAACATCTGAGCTCAGGCATACAAAAGTAGAGCTGGGAGTTTAGACAGATGGACTCTGTCCAGAGTCTCTGCTTGTAGCCTTGGCTTTGTGCACAAGGTGTCATACATGGGGCTGGACAAATAAGAAATGATCACCAAGACCTTTCTAGAGGACTTAGCTGTCAAATGTGTTCCTGGGAAGGTAGGCCTGACTGGCATCTGTTTGGGAAACAGCCTGGCATTTATACGTTTGCACTTACTTTGCAGTGCTAGGGTTAAAGCACAGGGCCTTCCACACGCCAAGTGTGGACTCTACCACAGGGCTATAACATGCCCCCCCCCCCCGAGGGTCTTCTATTTGAGTGTGTATGTGAGTGAGTGTATGCCTATGTGCTTGCATGTGGAGGCCAGAGGTCAGCATCAGGTGTCATGCCTCAAGAGCCATCCACCTTATATTTTGAGACAGGTTCTTGCGCGGGGGCCAGGGTGCTTGCCGATTAGGCTGAACCATCTGGCTAGTGAACCCCAGGGACCCTCCCCTCTCCATGTCCCTGCTCTGGAGCCACAGACGTGCACCACCGCACTTTAGGTGAGTGCTGACCAAACTCAGGCCCTTGCACTTGTGCAGCAAATGCTTCAACCAACCAACCAAGCTTGTGTCCTCAGGCCCCAGAGCCTGAGTTTGAGGCTGCAGTCGGCTCTTTCTGTGACACCCAAGTGTTGTCTGAGTGAGGTGGCAGAGAGCGGCAGCTCTGACGCAGTGGCGGCTGGCTCCCACTGGGACTGTGGCTGGCCTCAGGGTTCCGATCACAAGCTTTGGGGTTGGGTTGGGGTTAGAATGTTGACTCTGCTACTCCCCGGCTGTGGCTAAGGCAAAGGTTGGGTCCCTGCTTCCATTACTTGCTTGCTGTGTGACTCTGGACAAGGCATTTAGCCTCTCTGAATGCCGGTAACTACATAACACAAACACTTGACCATCCCCCATACACAAACAGGTGAGCTTAGGCGGCAGCGTCCTTGTAAAGTTGAAGTCTATTGATTAACTATCCAGGAAAAGGTGGCTTTGGAAGGGTCCTCATGCTCTGTGGTGCCTCATGCTCTTTCTCTGCCCCTTGCAGGTAGAGCTGCACGTCCACCTCGATGGAGCCATCAGGCCGGAAACCATCTTATACTTTAGCAAGTAAGTCCAGGGACAACCACATTCCTCTCCAAGATCCAAAAAAGTATTCAACTCCTATCAGGGGCCCTGGAGATCCCAGGGCTCAGCTCATTCGTTGTGGGAGTCAAGCCAGCCAGCCCTTGATGGAAGATGACGATGTTCTGCCATCTTTCCACTCCCTGCACTCCCATAGGTTGAGGTGGAAGACAAGCATCCTTCCTCCTGAGCTGTCAGGAAAAAGTGAGCCCCTCCCTCAGCATCCTTCACTCCTTTATTGTTAAGCATTCCATGTATGCTGGAAGGACGGAGCTTTCTCTCACTGTGCCCAGTGTTTAGCCTTAGCTCTACCTCTGTCCCATGTGACAGTCCAAGTGTGCTCCCAATTCCTTGGGAGGGATCTGTTTGGCATTCTTTCCTCCATGTTGTCCTTCTGGCAGCCTTTTCCTGCCCTGGTATGTGGTTCTTCAACTATGTGACATAAGCACACCACCTTGGCTGTGCTACACTGAGTTAGCTTAGTGACACAAACTCCCAAGCTGTGGAATGTCTCCATGGCTTGGGGGGCATTCTCTTGCCCACTCCCCTTTACAGGTGGGAAAATGGGAGCCATGGCAGCCAGAGGCGTCCTTGTGAGCACAGGGCAGGGTTTTAGTTCAGGGGTCCAACAGAGTCTGCGCTACTGTCACCAATGCAAGCAGAGATTTCTGTGAAGTAAGCCATGAAAAAGGAGTAGCTCAGGGCATATTGGATCACTCCAGATGTTATTATCAGTACCTATATGGCTTTAGTGTCAGGGGGAATGGATGCCTCTTGTCTTATCTCTGTGTGGCCTTTGGTCTTTTGGAGCTGGTAGCTATTGCCACAGGGCCTTGCTGAGGACATTTGGGTGGGGATACTGAGATTGGTTCTAATCAGGCATTATTAAAGGTCAAAGAAGGCTCATTATCCAGGTCAAAAAGGCATGAGTTATTCAGGGTGGGGTGGAGTGAAAGAGCAAGAAGTGAATAATGGGAGGCTGGTGTGATTTTTTCCAGCCTCAGCGCCTGCCCCCAAGGGGTTGCCCCGGATTATTGTAGCAGCAGAGAAGAGGCTCTGGCTTGTGGTGTATAAGGCAGTGACACCTTCTGTGTTTTGGTGACTGTGTTGGCAACCATCGCTTCTTCCTCCAGCCCCTGGGTTCCTGCCCTCTGTAGTGCCTCCTTCCCGGGCCCCTTCATCACTCTGCAGCCTCTCTACAGAGCATACTGAGGATCTAGCCACCCTCTGTTGCCGTCATTGTACTATTCTGAGCCACCATTGTCCCTTCCCTTCTCTACCCGCAGACTGTCTCAGATGCAAACCACAGCCTCGCCTTCCTCTGGGCTTTCAGGCTGCAGTCTGATCTTGTCTCCGAACATAGTTAGCAGTATGTCCCTCTGAAGGCTCTCCAGGATCACCATGGCTGTGTGTGGCTTTAGGAGGGTGTCTTGGAGGCAGTCTGGCCAGCAGCAAAAAGTTTAACCTGGAAGGACCAGGGGGTATTGAGAACCTCCCTCTTTGTACCAGGACCACAGCAGGGGCAGACACTATATCCCCACTGTGCATTGTGGGGACGTGGGACTGGTGAGGACTCATGACACACGGGCTGGAGCAGGGTCTAAAGGTTTACCTACTGGGAAGCCACAGGGACGAGGGCTTTTTTATTTTATTGAAGTGCTGGGAATGGAACCCAGTGCCTTCTGCATGCTGCGAAGCTGCGGTCTGAGCCCCTCGGTATTTCATTTCTTCAAACAAACACACACACACACACCAATACTACTAATAATAGTGATGATAAAATAGGAAAAACCAAGGCCTAGAGGGACCCTGTGGACCGGATCTGAGTCACAGTGGGTGGAGACAGCAGTGCATGTGCAGAAGGCAGAAACTCCCCCAAGTTCGCACCAGCTTCTTGCAGTGCATAGGGAGGCAGAGCTCCTGGTGCAGGAAGAAGGCTCCAAGGCAAAGGTGTTGGTGTGGAGATGAGACAGGGTTCTGAACTCGGGGGCTAGCACAACAGGCCTATGCTGGGTGGGGCTGTGACGTGCCAGCCAGGAGGGCAAAGGGAAAGGTCCTGCTACCAGCTCCTATCCTGGGAATTATGATACTGCACGGTAGCTGCTGTGTCTGATAGCTTCTGTATGGCCATATGTCCAGCCATCTCTGCCTGCCCCTGGGCCTGATGACATCATGGGCTTGCCATGGTATTCACCCTGGCATCAGCCTACCTGCTTGAGATGTGTTGCCTTGCCTCTGACCATTCCACCCTGAATGTATTTCATCTTGGAAGTCAAGCAAGGCTGACATCCTTGGATGGGAGGTGTGATTTGTCATGGCTTCTGGCTAGAAGTCTCGGGAGGCCTCTACTCAGTTCTCTAGGCTTTGGAGCTCAGTTTCCTCATCTGTGCCAAGGAAGGAGCTAGATGGAAGGATCCTCTGGTTTCTTACTGGGGCTACCAGTCTATTCCATGCTGCCCTGGGAGACCTGGCTGGATCCAACCCTGGTCATTTCACAATTTTTTTATTTGCTTATATGTTTTGTTTTCATATGTATGTATTTAAAAAAAATCATTTTATGTGTCTGGGTGTTTTGTCTACAAGTAAGTATGTGTAACACAGGCACGCCCGATGCCTGCAGAGTAGGCCTGAAGGCATGGGGTCTCCTGGAACTGGGGTTACCGATTGTCATGAGCCTCTGTGTGGGTGTTGGGAAGCAAAACTGAGGTCCTCTGCAAGAGCAGCCAGTGCTCTCACCCACCGAGCCCTGGCTGCAGCCCCTCACCCTCAGTTCTATTTTTAGGAAGAGAGGCATCCCCCTCCCGGCAGACACAGTGGAGGGGCTGTGCAGCATCATCGGCATGGACAAGCCCACCTCGCTCCCGGGCTTCCTGGCCAAGTTTGATTACTACATGCCTGTTATCGCGTGAGTTGCTCCCAACCCCTGGGTAACCAGGACCAGGCCTGAGCTGCTGCAGAAGGCACCATGCAGCTGCAGCCCACCTCCTTCCCACAGTGTGCATGTGAATCGGCCTCTCCTGTGCCTTTGGGCTCCTGGGTTCACCCCACCCAGAGGTGGCTCCCATCTCAGGGCTGAAGCCCTGTGCCAGCCAGGCTGTAGGATGTCTTGTTCAGAACTCACTGACCTTTAGACCTGATCCCCCAGACCTGTAGATCTTACAGAAAGAGCCCTAGTCCTAGGTAAACCGAGGCTAAGGAAAAGCATGGGTGCAGAGCAGGGTAGGGCGTGAACCAAGTCCCCCAGTCTAGAGCTTTGGTGGGGAGCCAGTCCAGATACTGGAGTGGGAGATGGAGACAGATTTGGGTCTTTCTTTGATGTGTCCTGAGTTACTGGATGAAGGAGGGCCATTACTTGTAACCGAGTTTTGCTACTTTGTGGGTTATTTCTCCCACCCTTTATCCATCCCACCCCCCTGTTTCACCCCCTATCACTATATGGGAGATAAATAAGGATAGAGAGGGGAGAGAGGAATTAGGAAAATCCCTGAATCTTAATTTCTTTCTTTTTGTTTCTCCTTTGACCATGACTACTAGCAAACTGCAACCAACCTCCCTAAATGACCAATAAGCACCAACCCTCCCTGTTGGAGCCCTTGAATTTATGTGCCCTCTGAAAAGTTCCCAGAATTCCAAATATCACACAATCACAGAAATTGTCTGCAGCTGGCAAAACCACTTTTTGCTAGAGCACGAGGCAAATCATAGTCAGCTGCTGTAGACAGTCCAAAGCAGCCCTAAATCCCTACACCTAAAATTAAAATGAAAGCACATTCTTGTAATGTTTCTCTGTTTTTTTAATGAAACAAAAATCCCAGAATTCTTAAAAATATCACTACAATTACTAGTCTCTGAGAAGGCCTAGGGAATAGTCAGTGTCAGAGAAAGGACTCATGACTTTGAAAACCTAAGCCAGCCTCTTGACCCAAATTTACCAGCGCCTCTCTATGTCCCACAGAGCAAACACCCAAAACCATATGACAGGTGCATGGGTCCTACAACTTTGAGCTCTTGCTTTCATGGATGCTGGCTCCTCCCCTGTCCTTGAGTACTAGCACCCCACTCCCCACATCTTCGGTCCTCTCTCCTTGTTCTCTCAACCTGGAATGCTGTTCCCTAAACGTCCATGGTTTGCCTTCTGCACATACCTCAGCGAGGTCTTGCTGACCGTGTTGTGTCGTGACATACCACATGGCCTCCTGGCTTTATCTGTGTTGACAATGTTCTTGTCTGATAGGAACATTGTTTTCCTGTGCATTTTCCCCGTACTTAAAGCTGGATCCCCTAACACAAGGTGATAGGAAGGTGGGGATCCTAGCTCCTCTTCACTGTGTACTAAGGGACTCGGTACCCACTTAGAGAATGAATGAGACTATAGCCATTTGAGAGCTGTGGGGGGCTGGGGCTGAGAAAGGCAGTGAGCATGCTCCTCACTATGGCAGAGCTGAGACAGGATCCTCCCTTACTCATTGACCCTCCTCCTAGGAGTGTCTCCATTTCCCCAGAGGTGGGCCCTGTCTTCTTACCCAAGGGCCGTTGGGACACTTGCTTGGCTTCCCTTGTTCATTCTCCCTACTCTGACATTTTCACAATAACCCACAATAACATAGGGTTCTAAGTAACAGAGAGGCTAACTGACTAGCCCAGAATCGCACAGACTGTAAGTCCATGACAGAAGATCAAGTTTGCCCACTCCAGAGTCCCTCTGGATTCACCCATCTGTGTCCTTTTATCTGCCCTGCCAGCCTTATATCCATTATTCAACAAATATTTGGCTACTGTGTCCTAGGTACTTCCTTGGCTGAAGTATCCCAGCAATGACAAGATAGGTCTATCTTGTCAGGGGGAGATGGAATCAGAGGGAGATAGGATATAGCCCCTCAAAAAGCATGTCTGATGTCAAGAGGTGATCAGGGCAAGGAGGAAGGATACCAAGAGAAGATGGTCTGAGGAGACCTGGGTAGAGGACGTTAAGCTGGCCTTAGGTGGAGGCAGGCAGAGTGTAGGATGTTAGAACAGTCAAGGAGTCCATAATCCAAGGTCCTGAGGTGGGAGGACAAGCTTGATGGTCCTTGGTCAGAGGACGAATGTGAAGCACAAGATGCCAGGGAAGCTGGTGACTGTGTGTTTTTGGGCTGGCATAGAGTCAGGTCTTTCTACACAACTGGAAGCAGCAGGAGCTCAGAGGAGAGGAACAGTTGGGCCTTGGTTTCCTCTGTTTAAAAAAAAAAAAAAAAAGCAGCAGTAGGGGTTGGAGGGAGGGATGCTAGATGCATGCCCTGCCACGGAGCTATGCCTCCACATCCTCATTTACTTTTCTTTTTAGATTGGGGGGAGGGTGGGGGCGGTACCAGAGGACAACTTGCAGAGGTCTGTTCTCTCCTTCCATCCTGTGGATTTTGGTAATCAAGCCCAGGTCTTCAGGCTTGGTAGCAGGCACCTTTTCCTGCTGAGCTATCCCACTGGTCCTCCTGGTTTTCATTTCTTTTAACCCCCTCTCACTGCTTTGTGGAGAGTGGAGTTCAGGGCAAACAGGAAGACATGCCACTTAGGGGCAGTGTGGCCACACCGGGGGAGGGGTCAGAATGAGTCTGCAGCTGGGAAGTACAGATGCTAGGATCTGCCAGGTGACTTGGCTCCTATCTGCAGGTGTCCAGGCAGTAAGAGCTTGTGAGCTGGGACTAGGTTGGATCTGAGCAGTGTTGCAGGTACCTCGTTTGCTACTGGAGCTCCCAAGGAGCTGAAGAAGGTTGTTGCTGATCTGTGTGTTTCCCTTCCCAGAGGCTGCAGGGAGGCCATCAAAAGGATTGCCTATGAGTTTGTGGAGATGAAGATAAAAGAGGGCGTGATGTATGCGGAAGTGCGCTACAGCCCACACCTGCTAGCCAACTCCAAAGTGGACCCAATCCCCTGGAACCAGACTGAGTGAGTGACCACACTGGACAGGGCTGTGATGAGAGAGAGGCTGTATTCCAAGCCCTGAGACAAGAGTGCTGAGGATAGGTCCATGGACTCAGAGGGACTCAACTTGGCCATAAGAGGCATGATTCCTATCCCTTTGCTTGTGGCTATGTCTGTCCCTTAATGAAGCTCCTGGCTAACTGCCCATGACTCTGTCTGGCTTATCCAGTGACTTCTAGAGGCTTTGCTCCTTCAGTGAGTCTGGCCCATTCCTTTCTTCTGGTCTAGACCTCTTGCATCTTGAAGTATCTTGAACCCCTTATTCCTTCCTTCTGAACCATGATTCTGATACATGTGGAAAACAGGAATTCAACAGGCTCCAAATTTAACCCCCTCTCGATCTAGAAATAGGGAGGGATATCTGACTTCCCCACACTTGGATTTGGCAATACCCAGACAGGAAGTGAGCCACTATATAAGGGCTTGAAATCATGTCCATGTCCTTGAAAGACACAATTCAGGGGCAAGGCTGTTCCTCCCTGCTCCAGTTCCATGGCTGCCCGTGGACTTCCCTTAGCCTGAAGTCCTCCCCCCTCCTCTCCCCACACAGAGGGGACCTCACCCCTGATGAGGTTGTGGATCTTGTGAACCAGGGCCTGCAGGAGGGAGAGCAAATGTTCGGCACCAAGGTCCGGTCCATATTGTGCTGTATGCGCCACCAACCCAGTGAGTACCACTGTACCCTGCCGGCTACCTGGCACAGGGCTGTGCCTACTGTCCCAGCATCCCCCCCACTCATATTCTAGAGCTTTCTAAAAACACCAGTGAGTCTCCTTAACAGGAAATCTGGGTCTTGACAGCCACATGACCAACAGGAAGTTCACAAACCTAAACAGTAGGGAAACATCTAAGACCACAGAACTCTGTGGTCTGACCCCGTCTTATCTGGACCACAGACTCTTGCATAGATCTGATTTCTGAAGTATCTGGGGTCCTCTGTGTTACCAAACTGGTCAAACCTCAAAGGATCAAGTTTCAACCTGTAACCTTGGGCAAGTCCCATCACCCTCTTGAGGTCTTACATACCTTGTCTGGGGATGGTCACAGTTACTTCATGCCCCTACCCTAAGGATCAGAGGGAACCAAAGCCAAGAGCTGATGTTAGGTTACTTACGGGGCCTTCTACAATGGGTCATGGCCTGCATGTCTCCTCTCTAACCCTCGATGCAGTCTGGGGACTGAACTCAGCCACTGGGCTTAGGACTTTACCCACTGAGCCATCTTGTTGGCCCATATCATAACTTTATGGGGCTCTTAATATAAAAGTGCATCAAACTAATTACCTAATTATAGCAATAAACTAATATTAGCAATAAATTTTAATATTCATGTCAGTTATATTCTGGGCTAAATGTCAGGCTCTATTTTCCCAACTTCTCAGTGAGTTAAGCCTGTCATGGGTGTTGGTAAGCACCAAGGGAATAGCCTGCTCACTACTTACTGAGCCCAGCCTGTGTCAGCAGACCCTTGGGATGACCTGTGCGGTGTGGCGGTGGTGACCTTCTGGGAAAGGGCACTCTGGGGCTTGGGTGGGAGGACCTAAAGACATGATACTGGATCTTATGTCTTCTCTTGCCTCAGAGTAGGAAGTAGGACAAGCCAGTGGGGCCAGCTGGCAGGCCCTACTCCATTACTGTTTGATAAAGCACATTGGACCTTGCTCCCAGGCTGGTCCCTTGAGGTGTTGGAGCTGTGTAAGAAGTACCATCAGAAGACCGTGGTGGGTATAGACCTGGCTGGTGATGAGACCATCGAAGGAAGCAGCCTCTTCCCAGGCCATGTGGAAGCCTACGAGGTGGGCCTGAGAAAGGGAGAGATGGCCCTGGGGGAGCTCGGCTGGTGAGCTTGGGGTCTCCTGAGTCCCCAAGGGTGGCTCTATAGGGGCTAGGGACTCAGAACAGAGTGTAAATAAAAGCCCCTCCAAGGTGTGGGAAGAGCCACCTTGCAGTCTGCATCTGCCTGTGTTTGGCTGTGTGAGCCTGGGCAGGATTGCTTCTTCTCTGGGTCTCATTTCCTTGATTCTAAACTTGTTAGACCTTGGTCATGTTAACTTGACTTTCTTGACCTCCACCCTAAAATAGTGTAATAGTTGCTATAGAATACGGGACAGTATGTTTAAACCCTTCAAACAGTATCAGTGCCCAGGAGCTGCGGCAAGAAGGGTGCTTACCACTCTATTCATAACTTGGGAAGCCAGGCCACGCCCTCCTATGTACTAATTGAAGTAGCCTAGTCTGGTTCTGGGAACAGTCACACCTGCCAAAACTCAGACTCCAAGTGTGGCAAAGACAGGGCTTTCGAGGACCCTCTCAGAGCTACCCCCAACCTATCTCTTTCCCTTCCAGGGGGCAGTGAAGAGTGGTATTCACCGAACGGTCCATGCTGGGGAGGTGGGCTCTGCTGAGGTTGTGCGAGAGGTAAGGAGCCAGTGACCCTCAGCCTCTTCTTCCTGATTCTGTTCCTGCTCCTGGACTCAGCTCCCCTCTACTTCTCCACAGGCTGTGGACATACTCAAGACAGAGAGGGTGGGCCATGGCTACCACACACTGGAGGACGAGGCCCTCTACAAGAGACTACTGAAAGAAAACATGCACTTTGAGGTGAGGTGCCAAGGCTGAGTGCTGACTCTGGCTGGCTACCCCATGCCTTTTGGACAGAGGCGGGACAGGCAAGCTGAGCGGGGCAGCTGCATGGTGGATGTTTCATGGGGCTTTTGAGGCAAGGAGGTACTCTCAAGTCTGGCAAGAATGGTGCCACAAGCAGGTGGCTGAGCCCCTGCCTGGGGCCCACTATGCCAGCCACACACTGCCCCTTGCAGGTGTGCCCCTGGTCCAGCTACCTCACAGGCGCCTGGGATCCCAAAACGACGCACGCAGTTGTTCGGTGAGATATGGTTCCTGGGACCCATTTGGTTCTGTTCTGGAAAGGAGAGAGAGGGAATATAGGAATGGGTATGTGGCCATCCTGGTTCTTAGGAATGACATCAACTTTGGTTGGGAAGTAGGAATTGCTGTCCTAACATGAGGATTGTGACACTCAGATGAACCAACCTGACTCCCTATCTGCTAACTAGTAGAGCTGGGGCCTGCAGTTCATCAGCCATAAGCTTCTGCATTCTTGTTAACCAACTGTCTGTTGGGCTGTGGGAAGAGGAGTCCACATTTGTCTGCGTGTTCGCTGCTCTTGATGTTACTGGGTGCTCCCCTGAAGGCTGGCTTGAAGCCTTTTCCTAGAGGTCTCTCCCATACTCCCTGGTTCCCACCAGCAACTAAAAACAAAGCCTTCCTGCCCTGTGACCAGGTCCTTATCAGGCCTCATGAGAACAAAGCTGTCTTCTCCCAAGGCCAGGTACAATTGGCAAGAACTTGGGCTGACAATGGACAGACAGGCCAGCACTGGTCTCAGCTAAGCTTACACAGGTGGAAGTGGTGTACTCTGATGACAACTGTCTCCTGGGTTTCCTTAGCACACGGCTGCATGATGCCTGTGGGACAGCCAAATGGCAGCCCTCGGAGGCACATGGGTCTACAGCATGGTGGGAGGAAGGTTAAAAACCTCTATGCAGATACAAAGGTTGAAGAGCAGACTCTCTGGGAGATGGCTGATCAAGAGGACTAAGGTCAGAGCCTACAACAGTGGCATGAGGGACAGGTAGACAGATGGAAGGAAAGCCAAAAGCATGTCAAGGTGTCATAGGCTGGTAGACAACACAGTACTGAGTGCTTGCTGTGCAAGCGTGAGACAAGAGCTCACATTTCTAGCAGCCACACAAAAAGCCAGGTCAATGTACACCTGTGACCTTAGTACTAGGGAGACAGGAGGATTTTTGGCTCAATATAGTGAGCTTCTGGTTCAGTGGGAGACTCTGTCTCAAAGGGATAAGGTGGAGAATCATAAAGACACCCGACACCATTCTCTAGCTCTGGGCACCCCGAACACGGCATATACACAAACAGAAAACAAAAGCTTAAAATAATTTTCTTAAAAGTATGGTATCAAGAGAAATCCAGGAATGGTGCTTTGAGAAGAGTCAAGTGTCAAATTCTGGGACTGGTAAGATGGCTCTGTGCGTACAGGTGCTTTTCACAAAGCATGATGATCTGAGTTTAATCCCAGGAACCTATATGGTAGAAGCAGAACACTGACTGTCACAATTGTCCTTTGACCTCCAAACATGCTCTATAGCATGCACATCCAGAGCCATAAATAAATTAAAATAAGTGTTGAATACTGCTACCCAAGCATTTAAGGTTGGTGCTAGCAAAAACCAACCAATTTCGACACAATGGTTCATGGCTGTGCCAAGAGGTTTCTGTGTATGTTACATACAGCAAGGACTGAGGACTGACTGAAGAGGAAGGTTGGGTGTTAGCCATGCTCCAGAAGGGGAAGGCTGAAGAGCATGGGAGCTTCAGGAGCTGTTGCTTCCCCAGCTCTCCAAATCGACCTTCTCCCTGGCTGTCACCTCAGGCCATTCTTCTACCTTTGCCTCTGGGCTGGCAGGGTGGCTTTAAATAAGTTCCCAAAGCTAGGTGTGGTGGCACATGCCTTTTATCCCAAAACTCAGGGAGGCAGAGGCAGGAGGATTGCTCCGAGTTCGAGGCCAGCCTGGTCTACAAAGCAAGTCCAGGACAACCAAGACAGAGAAACCTTGTCTCCAGGGGGGTGGGGGAAGTAGCAAGATAAGGTTTTCTAGATATTTCACTCTTAGTACAAGAACACAGTCTTTCATGTTGCAATGCTGTGTAAAGACTGAGGAGGGCGGAGGGTGGATAGTGACAGTTCTTGGGAGCGGTAAAGAGGCTCTTTTCTTCTTACCTGACCCCTCCCCCAGTTTCAAGGATGATCAGGCCAACTACTCACTGAACTCAGATGACCCCCTCATCTTCAAGTCCACCCTGGAGACAGACTACCAGATGACCAAACGGGATATGGGCTTTACTGAGGAGGAGTTCAAGCGAGTGGTGAGTAGTTGTGAGCTGTTACCCTGACACCCAGGTACATGTCTGAGAGCTGCCTGGAACTCCTGGAGACCTACAGTGGGTTTGCCTGACATGCCAAATGGAGCCCAGCACCCAAAGTCTCCCACAAAGATGCCTTGGCCCTGATACCCCCAGCTTGGGCTGAACCCCTTGGAAAAGTGTCTGGCTGTGGGAATTTTTGCACTATTTGGGCTGTTCCTAGGCTGAACCCTTAGTCTTGGGTTCTGAAGTCCTGAGTGAATCCCTGCAAGGGCTTCTGACGCACACTCCACACTGTGGGGGCCTGTGTTCTCTGCTATGGCCTGTGTTGTCCTGGCTCCCGAGGCTGCTCCCTTCCTTGCTCTTTGACGCCATGGTTTCCTTCTAGAACATCAACGCGGCAAAGTCCAGCTTCCTCCCCGAGGACGAGAAGGAAGAGATTCTGGAATGGCTCCACAGGGCCTACCAGTAGCTGCCACAGGCTGATGGTATGCTTCTGCAGGAGCATGGCAACTGCCCCACCCTGTCCCTCCTCCTGTGTGGCTTGTGGCAGAAGTCCTTGGGGAGTGGGGACATCCCTGAGAATAAGAGAACTGCCTGGCTTCTGGGCACAGTGGTCAGCCTCCTGTCAGGGTGGCTACTTCCTGAGCAGCTACTGTTAGGACAGGCTTTCTGAAGACAACACCAAACTATAAGGGCAGCCTGGAGTGTGATCTGATCAAGAGTTGCCCTAGTCCTAGTTCCAAGTGTCTTCATTTTCTCCATGGCCTTGGCAAGCCACACATTCCTTTTCTTGAAGCCCCTGCCTTGCTGTCTATGGGAGGAAGTTATTCTCTGGGCCTGGAATTCTGTGCCTTATGTTATGAGTGGTCTGAACTTTCTGCTTCTCTCATTTGACCAGCAGGGCAGGTCCCCTGAAGATGGCAAGGCCACTTCTTTGAGCCTTATCCTCTGGATGTAGTCTTCACAAAGCTGTGACATGCTGACCTTCATCCCTTTCAGGCGTTGGAGTGGCCAGGTCTGTCTTCTGATTAGGTGTCTGGCTAGGGACCAGGGGCCCTGCCAATTGTGGGTATGAACAGGAAACCTTCCTTCTAAGGCTAAAAAGTCTGGTGTTCAATAAAGCAGCCGGTGACTGGTATCTTGCAGCACATGGCGAGTGTGGTCTTGGGGCTGCTGGCTGCAGTTGAGTAAAAATGAAAGGATGTTGAGGCCCCACACTGGGTATCAGGCTGGGAGGGGTCAGGACCTCTTTTCTCCAGAAGTGACACTTTCCCTGAGGGGCTGTTTGAGCAGATGCTCCTGAACCCTTTAAAGATTTGCTTATTTTTTGTATAAGTATTTTGTCCACATGTATGTATATGCATCAGGTGTGCCTGGTGCCAAAGGGGTCAGAAGAGGTCACCAGATCCCTCTGGGACTGGATTTAGTTATAAACTACCATCCATGTCTCACATACATGTGAGGACAGTATGTGAGAGCTGCTTTTCTCTTCCCACCATGTCAGTCTCGGGGATTGAACTCAGGCTGTCAGGCTTGGCAGCAAGTGCCTTTCCCCACTGATCCATCTCCCAGGCCCCTTTGAGGTTGCTGCAGCTGCGGGCTGTGTGAGGGTGGGGTGAGGCAGGGTTCATCAGATGCCACATGAGGAGTTGTACTGGTCCCCACCGAACAGAGGGCAGCAGTGGAACCCTGCTGGCTGAGGATGTGGGGATGCAAAGCCCAGCTGTGCACTTGGTGGTTAAAAGAAAGAATCTTAAGCCAGTCACACAAACCACCAGCATTTATTTCCTGGGCCTATGTATCAGGCTCTTGGTACAAAGAATTGGTCAGCTAGTTTTGAGTCCAAATCCTTTCCCCAAGCTGGATCTGTGAGGCTCCACAAGGGAACTTAGAGCTGCATAGATCATTACAACTAAGCTTTAAAAGGCTTTCAAGACAAACCAAAAACCAAAACCAAAACAGAAAAATTGATTGTTAGTTCCCCTTCTCTGCTGAAAAAAGATTGTTTTTAAAAAATGTAAAAGAGGTTTTAAAAAAGGGTTAGGGAAGATCTTTCCAAAGTAGACGGCTGGCTGGAAGGGATGAGTGGTGGCCGGACAGTCCCTGTCCAGGTCAGGGCTGCTGACCTGGGGGCAGCGCTTGGCTCAAGCCCCACCTAGCTGAATAAATAACATGTCATGGTGAAGAAGGTGTCTTCAAAGTGTACCTGGGCACCGTGGGGAGGTGAGGGACAGTGGAGCCTGTGGTGTGGGCAGAGGACTTTGCTGGAGTAGAGGCCACAGAGCCCCCATGAGGCTCTCAGTCGGCCTGGCGAGCCTGGGCTATGGGCTCAGAGAAGAGGCTGCAGGGCTGGGCCAGGGCTCCAGTTCCAGGAGGGTACAGCAGGTTTCTCTTCCGGAATCAAGATGAGGTGCTAGTGGCACTGCTCTCAGGCTGGCTGCCGGCCTCCTTGCTGGGGGCACTTCCCTCTGCCTGTCCTCCTGTAGGGGAGAAGAGGAATACGTTTTCTTGAACATTTACACACTATGAAGCACAAGGGGTCTGGAAGAACCAGCCAAACTGATCATTGTGGCCAGCCTTTGGAGCAAGCTAAAAGAGTGCACTGGGGAGGGGGTGACAAGGCCAGAGAGACATTAGCCTGCTCTCTCATGTCTCACTTTTTACCATGGAAAGGCTGCCAGGTCTGCTAGTACAATAAGTCAGAGGCCAGGATTATGGACAGGTGCTAAGCAAGTTCCCAGCAAGGAGGATGGGAGTTTCCGTGAGCACCGTATAGGAGACTCAACCAGGCCAGCTCAGGAGTGCCCACTGTGGCCTGCACATCACACAGTAGAAAGTGCCTGACTCAGCACACCACTGGCAGCATCCATCCCTGATCTACTCCAGCCAGCCAGAAACCTTGGCTAGAGTAAGGCACAGACAGCGGGAGGGTGAGAGGAGCACCTGGCCCACAAGTCCCTGAGTAAGCCAGGTCTCCTCACCCCCAGCTTCTCTCAAGCTCCACTGGAAGGTAGAATCAGCAGCGTCTGCCTCACCCACTTGATAGCAGAGCACCTGGCTTATACTCTGTCCTCATCCTCCCAGGGTCAGCATCCTCCACCTCACAGCCTGGCTATGGGCAAAGCTCAATAGTGAACTTTCAAACCCCATGACACTGTGATGCCACTGAAGGTCTACCTCATTCTGCCATTAGACCTATGCCTATGCGGAGCTCTGGGTCTGACCACTGCGGGCACTCTGTCAATCAATCCACATAGCAACCTGAAGGTGTGGTTAGGGTCATGACACCCATTAAAAAAAACAGGCCCAGGCAAGTTGATGTACCTGAAGTCAAAGGGTGGAGAGCCTGCTTACTGGTGAGCCCTACTCCTTCCACTAAGCAGAATTCTCTGGCATCCATACAGGCTTGTTGGCAGGAAGGCCTCCCAGGGCCCCACAGAGTAGTCTTTGGCCCTGGGTGTTCATGGAAGTAAATAGTGTGGACAGAACTTGGCACTGTGGCTCAAATGTGCCAATCTGAGCCTGCCTGGCCTGAAGCTACCTCCTCTGAGGATGGTGGCTGAACCAAAGCTCTTTCCCACGAGGTTCTTCCGGCCTCTAGAGGCCTAATACCCAATGACTGCTCCAGAAGTAACATTTGCATTTTGTGAGGCCCCCATGAGCTGGGACCCTTTAAACTCCATTTTCTCTGCTCTGTTGCTGGAGACTCTGCACATCACTTTGCAGTAAGCAGTCTGAAAGACGAGACATGCTACAGAGACTCTGTATCCCTCACCTTGGCTGTCAGACTACTGAAACAATGGACCCCAGGATCTCCTGCCAGAGAAAAGCCTAAAGTCCAAGCCAACCAGAGGGATTTTTCTCCTGGAAAGAGATCTGCAACTTGTCAGAGCTTGAGGACTGTGGGCTGTAAACAATGAAGGATCAGTTATATGGGAAGGATGTCTGTGCTGGACAGCTTAGGTATGCACAACTCTGGTCTCTACTCAATCTACCCTCATGGCAGGGTCCCAAAGATGAGTTTGGAGCGGTTACTTGATCTCTTTGTCCCTCTTCCCAATGTGGCCACACTGAATAAATTTCCTTTTCTTGCTCTTCATATTAACTTGGCCCTTTTAAATTTATTTTTATTTTTCATGTATGAGTTTTGCCTAATGTATGTTTTGCTTCCATGTATTCATGGTACCTTTGGAGGACAAAAGCTGGTATTGGATCTCCTGGAACTAGAGCTGCTATGAAGTAGCCTTGACTACGGAGCCACTGCTCCAGCTCCTAATTCTGCTCTTGCAATTGGCTTATTGAGGACTGGCGTCTAAATCTGGTTTGTTGGAGCATAAGCTGTGAACCTAAGTCCTCTCAAACAATCATATTTCCTATGAGCCAGCTCTCCCTTAGTTGGGGAGAAGGTCCTCTCCTATCAGTCCCAAGGAGGAAAGAAACTTGTGCTGCCCAGGGTCAGTAAAAACCCCCACCCCCGACTGGCCTGTGGTTTTTCTTCCTATTAGGCAAACTAAAGCAACATCTGTGCTCCATGTCTGAGAAGACACCAGGGACAGACAAATCTGTGTACAGCATGCTGGAGAGTACTCACACATCAGGCAGGCCACAGGCTCAAGGAGACCAGAAAGCCAGGACGACTTCTACTATGAGAACTATGGTCCTGTTCTACTTAGGTTATGATTGGCCCTTGGAAGTTGGGGCAGAGAAAACTCTGGGACCCTTGGCCTGCCAGGTCAGAATCTCAGGAGAAGCATTTAAGGCTGTGTCCTCGGCCTATGAGTCTGCTGGACTCAGAAATGCCTGAACACAGTTTACTGTGAGGCCTTCATGCAAGGTTTCTCAAAGCTGGTCACTCTGCCTCTACTCTTATCAGAGGTGCTCTGATCTGTGGCAGCGAGCACTGTTCTGTCCTCATGTCTTCTCTTTAGACATCAGTCACAGTGGCTAGCAAGCACCATGTACTGGGAGGACCTAAAACCCCAGAGACTCTCAGGCAAGGCAAACAGTATTGAAAGGGCCTGTATGAGGGACCAGCAGCTGTGATGGCTGAGGGAGGGAGGAAGGAAGGCAGGAGACAAAGCTGATTAGGGCACAGAAGCCTTGAAGAAACCCTTGGCACTGTGCCTGGTGTGCCAGCTGGGCACACTGCTCATTCTGCTGGACAGTAAGCAGCCACTGAATCACATGCCAAACACTGCCAGTCACAGAGGGGATGAGACAGCCTATGCTGGAGCATCTCAGTTCAGAGGTGGTGCTGTGCTTACAGGGCCATGGAGACAAAGGGAGAAAGGAGGCGCCTCTGCTTGAGACGAGCTGTGGTCAGGGAAGGCCTTAGCACAAAAGGCACCACAATGAGAAGCAACTGCCACATGAGAACCAGGGAGTCGGTGAAGAAGCCCACTATGGCTTTGGAGAGCCTGCAGGCCTTTACTCTGACCGGGAGATAAGGTAAAACGTGAGGAATAAGAGTTGAGGATGTAGAGGAGTATGGCATGAGTACCGTGGAGATGTCCAACCCTGAGCAAAAAGTAGGGACCCGCACAAGGGAGGACAAGGCCTCCATCAGAAAAACTGGGTGAGTCTCCAGGGGAAAGAGGTCAGGCACTCTCTCAAGGCATAGAGACTGTCATACTATGACCACTTGCTGAATGAGCCTAGGAAAACTTGCAAATTCTCTTGGCCTTAGTTGATCTATCACATGAAAGGTTGAATCTGCTCTTTCTTCCTCAGTCACTTCTGGGCAATGAGGACCAAGAACTCTAGACTAGGGCCACACAATGTGGCAAAGACAATGTTATGGATCTGCAAGGACCAGCTGCTACTGGAGTAACACAGTAGGAAGCTGCAGTGCACTCTGGGAAGTGATATAGCAAGCGTGGTCTCCATGCCTGCAGCAGAGAGGAACTGGTAGGGAAGGCTTCCCAAGCAAGGAAGGGTCTATGGCAAACTGCAGGCCTGACCTGAACAGAGTACTCTGGGGGAATGGAGGGAGAAGTGGAGAGCAGGGTCTCCCAGACAATACTGGGTCCTCTTGGTTTCTTTTTTAGGTTATTCAGCCTCTGGTTACAAACTGCCTGCCATGTAGAGGAATAACAGAGGCCCTCTCTCCTGGAGCTTAATGTCAAAGAAAAGAGACCTCTGAGAATAATGTGACAGGGGCAGAATATTAGCTCTCAGGAGGCCTCTTGGAGCATCTGCTAAACTTGACCGGAGAGTAAACGGGCAGCAGGTGGCCCCAGCTCCACTTGGGGCTGATCTATTCAGGGGCAACAGTGAGGTCAAGGCCCTGACAAGGAAGCCCTTCCCCATTACAGAGAACCAGACAGATGGGGGCGGGGGGAAGGCGTGGGTAACAAGGCATGAGTAGAAGCCAAGAGCAAGCAGGCTGGCCAGTAGTGCATGACTTCTGCAGAGCACTAAAGAGCAGCTTGGCTCTGAGTGTTCCCAGGGAGTCTGGGGCAGAAGTCTGAAAGGACGGGTATGGCTGGCTAATCCTGCTATCTGCTGTGCAAGGGAAGGGACTCCTAATGAACAAATCATGTGATGTTGTGTGGATGGGGAAAGGCATGGAACAAGGCAGAGGGGGTTGGGATCTATCACAGAGATCTGACAGGGCTTATTGGTGGAGTGGGGGCAAAAAGGAAGGGAAGTGCCCTAGATGTCCACTGGAGCCCTCAGAACCAGGATGCTGGCAAGCTCCACCCTAGACATTGGCTGGGCTCTGCCAACAATCACGGCCAGCCCCAATTTAAATGTAGCTGCTTCTCTGAGGAAGTGCAGGACCCAGAGGCTACCAAGTGCTCGCACAGTACCTCCCCACCTGCCCATGGGGATGTTGGGGCATTGGCTCTGACCTGCCCCCTCAAGTGCTAGCTCGCCCATGTCTCCAGCTAGCTTCCGCACGCTCACAGCCTCCGAGTCACCCTGGATGTCAGGGACTGCATTCCGACGGCCTGTCCGGTCACAGGAGATGAAGTCTGAGTAGGAGGACTCGACCTCCATCATGCCTGTTGCATCGCTCCTCAGGCCTGTGGGGACAGGAGCAGGAGAGTAGTAGTGAGACACTAATATTCTCTGATAAAATAACACTATTGCCTTTCCCTGAAGACTGAGCACAGAAGGCACAGGAAACCGAAACCAAACATAAGAATGTAATTCCAGTTAAACTGCTATCCTCATCTTAAAGAACAAGCACATGACTTTAATCTCAGCACTCAAGAGGCAGAAGCAGGAGGGATCTCTGCAAGCTCCAGGCCAGACAGGTCTAATGAGTTCCAGGACACTGAGGGCTATGTAGAGACAAAGAAAGAAAAAAGAAGAAAAGAAAAAAAGAAAGAGAAGAGAAAAAGAAAAGAAAAAATAAAGGAAAAGAAGAGAAAAGGAAGGAAGGAAAGAAAGAATGATTATGCATGAGGACCAGGGAGATGGCCCACTGGGTAAAGGTGCTTGTCACCAAGCCTGAAGATCTGAGTTCAGTCCCCAAAAACCATGTGGTAGAAAGAGAGAACTAACTTCTGCACATTATCCTTGGACAGTCACACCTGCACTGTGCACCTCCTGGATACACATATGCACACACGCACGCGTGATGAAATAAATGTAGAAAGTATCTTTACAAAGAACATGTATTCCATCTTCATTCAAAGTAAAGGTGGTGACCAGCATTCCACACTTACCATACCCCGTGCCCAGTACTGATAAGAGACTAAAGAGGGAGCAAAGAGCAAGTCAACACCATTCTCTACCTCACAGAGCTTAGAGTTCACCATTGCTTAGGTCGAGACCATGTGTTCAGGGCTTCAGGGACCTGAACAAGACTGAGACTCGGGAAGTGACATGTCAGTCGAGATCCAAGGGTGGCATGGGAAGACTCTGAGCATGGTGGTTTACACCTGTAACCCCAGCACTGAAGAGACCGAGGCAGGAGGATTTCCGAGGCGAGTTTGAGGCCAGCCTGAGCTATACAGTTGCACAGGGAGCTCTGGGCTAATAGAATGAGACCCTGTCTCCAATAAAAATTTAAAATATAAAGAGAAAGGCAGAGAATGTCCCAAGGAAGAGAACAGCAAGTACTAAGGCTCCGAGGAAGAAAGGGTATGGTAGAAGAGCAGAGAAGTCTTGCAGGAGGGGACAGTGACATAGGGGGACACTAAGGGTGAGCAGAGGCGGACATCATCCTGGAGGAGTTTTAGGTAAGGTCACGAAGACAGCCATGGTTTGTGGGGTACAGTAGGAGGCTTCTGGGCAGGTCAGATGTGAGAAGGCTGCAGGGACCACACAGGCACTGTGATACAGGGAATTTTGGTTTCTGACATACGTCAGGAGTTGGACAGAGACGTGGCTACTGAGAGGGGACTCACGGAGGAGCACTTGGGATGCCAGGAGAGTGGAAAGCAACCAACTGTTCACTAGTTAATTCCCTGACTGGCTTCAAGGTTCCCATGAGTCTTCCAATGGAGACAGTAGGGAGAGCACATGGAGGACGTTGGAGTGGAAGAAGGGCGTGAAACCAGGAACACTCGCTGCCATGTGGTGGACAATGGTCCAGAGAGAAGAGAGCCAAGGATGTAAGGAAGGAACATACCATACATTATACATTATACTTCATAGCCTATTAGGAGCAAACACCCTGCCTCTCTGGCCAGTTTCCCCATCTGTAAAATGAAGGCACGGCAAAATTTTGTGCGAGGCAGTACCCCCTGCACCCAGAAGATGGCGCACCCTGCCTATCTGTCTTAGCTGTGGCAAGGGTCTCTGCTGAAGAAATTCCTGGAGGTGCTTTCTTCTACTGGTCACTCTGCCTCCCCTTCCTTTGGGAAAACTGAAACCTTAGCACAGCTAAAACGGCCTGTTAAAATGGTGATCACGTTGTAGCAACAAGTACAAATGACAATGCTGCCAGTAGAAAGAGTGGTGAAGACAGTCAAGGAGTGCCGTTTTACTTCATCCCTCTTGATGGTCCTCGATGGTCCCACCCAGGAAATATATGCACTGTGTGTGCTTTATACCCTGACCTAGCGGGGCTCAGGCTCAGATGTTTCCCCACGTGACACCAGCTGCCCACAGGATGGGTCAGATCCTGGGCGCCCCACACCATCTGTTGCAGCCTCTTTCCTCAGCTCTTTTCCAGTTAGAACATCAGTTCCATGAAAAAAGGGATTTGAGTCTGGATTTTCAATGCACCAGACTGAAAGGCCTGATCTTGGCAGCTAAGCCAATCTGCTCTGCTGCTTCCTTCCAAGATGCTCCACTCGGCACCTGCTACAGAGGAGGGCTCTATAAATACACCTGGATCACATTGCTTTCACCCACCCACTCCCAACCCCTACCCCGCCTGCTCCCTATCTGTGGGATAATAGAATGACCCCAGGGGCTGCAGGAAGGCTGCACTCATCTTTCCAGGATTTGACACCAGCAGGAGTTGCCTGCGAATCTGAGGTGCTAGCCTCTCACTGGGACAGACTCCCTGGGGCTCTGACCTTGCTCTGGCTCCATCTGACCTCTGGGCTGCACGGGGGCAGAAAGCTGATGCTGTTGCCACAGAGAAAGATCACTGCCAAGCTCCAAACCCAGTCCTGGAAAGCACCTATCCCCATTTCCCCGGGAACAGTGATTCCAAACACAGCTCTGGGGAATTTTCTAACTCAACACACAAACATCCAAGTTCACTTTTCTCTCATGTCTGTGTTCTTCATCCTGTGGTGGCATAGGCCTGGAATCACAGCCATTTAGGGTGCCAGGGAAGGATGATCTTGGGTCCAGCTGGCCTGAGCTACATAGCAAGATCCTGTCTCAACAGACAGACAAACATGAGGAAATGTTCATATATACCATTAAGTAAAATAAAATCATATAATCACATGAGTATTTAAATTGTGATTTTGTTTTTGTTTGTTTCTGAGACTGTTTCTCTATATAGTCCTGGCTGTTCTGGACTCTCTTTGTAGACCAGACTGGCCTTGAACTCTGAGATTTGCCTGCCTCTGCCTCTCAAGTGCTGGGACTAAAGGTGTGCACCACCACCACCTGGCTTTAATGTGTAGCACAGGCTAGTCTCAAAGTCAGATCCTCCTGCTTCCACCTCCTTCAGCAAATCCTACAAGTGTGTGCCACAACTGGCAAAAACTGATTTTTGAGTATTTTTTTTTTCTTCTCTACTTTTCTGAGATGGTCTCATGTAGCACAGGCTGACCCCGAATTCACCATGTAACCAAGGCTGGCCTGATACTCCTGATCAGCCTGTCTCTACTTCCCAACTGCTGGGATTACAGGTATGCAGCACAGCTGGCTTACTTTCTAAATCTTCCTTAGGGAAATGATTTGCTTTTATTATTAATTATTATTAGTGCTGGAGATGTGCCCCAAGGCCTTCTGCATGCTAGGCAGTGTCCTACCATTCAACTACAACCCTAGCCCATAAATTATTGAGCTTTAAGATTGTGTGCATGAGGAATAAAACAAAGTACAAATGGGAGGATGCAAGAATTGAGTGTCTCTACTCCATTCCAGTCTCCCCAATCACAGTATACCTTCCAGAAAAGTCTGTGACACACAAAATCCCTCCCTTCCTCCTTCCCTTCCTTTTCCCTTAAGATTTTTGTAAACAAAATTTTCAGTTATTCTTTTATATCTTTATTATTATTGTGCGTGTACATGAAGTGGGTGTAGGTGTGTGGGAGCCACATGCTCCCATGGGAATCAGAGGACATCTTTGGGAGCTCTCTCCATGTCGTTCTGGGGTCTGAACTCTGGCAGTCAGGCCTGTGAGGCAAGAGCCCCTACCCACTAAAACCATTTTCCTTTCTCTTCTTCTTGGGGGAAAGGTCTCACACAATGGACCAGGCTGGGCTGGATCTCACTCTGTACCCCAGGTGGGCCTCCAACTCACAGCAATCCTCCTGCCTTAGCTTCCCAGATGCTAGGATTACAGGCATGAGCTACTGTGACTGGCCAAAACTTTACTTTTCATCTTGTTTTCTCCATTTAAGCTTATGTCTTATAAATAAGTCCAAACTACCCCGAGAACCATGTACAATGATTACATCAAAACACTGAAACTACATCCACAGTCTTCGCAGTCCTCAGCTGCTAGCCGCTGAGTGAGCCTCTGTGGTCACTGCCCAGACTGATTCAATTACCCTCCCCGTAAGACCTGGGGTTTGTTTCCTTAAAAGCAGAACTGACACATCAAGGGCTCTGTGCTTTTTCACTGTCAGAAGTCCTGCCCAATTCTTCTCCAGATGCTGTTTTATTTTCATTTCCATTTCAACCCACCTTGTGCTGCTAAAACAAAATACCTAAGCCTGGACCACCTCAGCCCCATGTTTCATATGAGTACAGAATGTATACAGAATCAAGATTTGAACGACCACTAGTCACTCTTTTATAATCTCCCTGTCACAAGGGCAAACACCATCATCTTTCCTACTTAACTGAATAAATAATAAACTATTAATAGCCAGAATCCTACTTCAGAGTGGCCATGCTGGGTCACTGTCAGCAGCTTGTGCACAGGACTCTTCTAGCCCCTACTTGAGAAATGAGGAAACTGAAGCTGGGAAGTAGAGTGACTTCAACTTCTCAGATCACTGACGTTCTTCAAGGCCAGCACCTAACAATGGTGCCCCCATGCTGTCTTTTTCGCTCCTCAGTGTTTCCTCTTGTTGCTCTGTACATCTCTGAATCCTGTGGCATGGCCATTCACTTGCTCAGTATCAACTCACTCATGCTGAGATGAAGACACCTAGATGACATCATTATGAAGAACAACATCCTCTTCCTTCTTAGGCTTCTCTTGCTTTTTCTTTCTCCTTGGCAACGTGTTACCTCTATAATCTGTTGCCCAAAACAAAACTCTATGGCCCTCAGCTCAGGCCTCCCTCAGTTTCCTCTCTCAGGAGTCACCTGCACACAGCACCTACACATAAGCCGGAGCACCACACAAGCTGGCCTTTCCTTCTCGCATTTTCACCTGCTCCCTACCTCTACCTCTCGCTCACCCTTAAGTCTTTCATCCTCTGCTGGCATG